CGCTTTCTCTCACTCTCGCGATGAGAAATGTGTTGTTTTCCCTTGCAACATTTTTCAGAGGTATGCACGTATAGTTATCGATGTTTTTTTTCCGTATATGATTATAGTCGGGTATTTATTTGCAATCCGGATCGCCGCCGTTATGAAAAAAACGGATCTTGCGCTATAAATTATAAGTTTGCTTCCATAACAATATTTTAAAAATATTTAACAGGTAAAATTAACATCATATTTAGATTCCACACATTTTTCTAATAAAATTTCATATATAATATGTTAAAATCGAAGTTACGGTTTAAAAGATACAGATAATTTAGAAAATCATTTGGTTTGACTCAAATATATTCCAAAATAATATATAAAAATACTTAACAGGTAAAAATAATCTCATATTCATATTTTACATATTTTTCTAATCAAATTTCCTATACAGCATGTTCAAATCGGTGTTACGGTTTAAAAGATATGGTTGATTTTAAAAAGCATTTGTTTGACTTAAATATGATCCGCGGATGAATTACCTAAAATAGAGGGGGGTTTCGAAAAATGTAAAATAACGGTTCGGGTGTGAATTAAATCCGGACGACAGGTTGATTTCAAGAAAAGATAGGGACTTTTATGTAAAATACAAAAATAACGTTTCATTTTAACTTATAACAAGACTGCGGGTTGAATTCTCTGAAATAGAGGAACTTTTCTAAAAACATGCCATGACGGACAAAAGAAACCAAATTTGCTTTATTATTAGGTAAAGATAAAGATAAAGATTTTATTTTCCTTTTTTATCTCTCTTTTTCTTGGTTGGGGGAGGGGGCATGGGGCCCACTAGTCGTAGGCCGCATGGGACTTACAGGGCGCTGGGTGCGCGGGTGCGGCTGCGGACGAAACCACAGCCCGCCAGCGAGGCGCGATCCGTGCAGCCGGCCGGCACGGGCACGGCCGAGCCGCGGTCAGCGGCAGGCGGCCGTGGGAGGCCAGTGCGGGCGGCACGACACAGCAATAGCAGGGCGGCAGCGGCAAGCGGGAGGCAGCACGGGGCGAGCGGCGGAGGGAGGCAACGGCGACCGGCGCGAAGAGCGCCGCGACGAGCAGCACGGTCAGCAGGGGCGAGCGGGGGATCAGCAGGGGCGAGCACGGTCAGCTAGCAGTAGGGGAGGCAGCGGCAGCAGCTAGCAGTAGGGGAGGCAGCGTCAGCAGCTTGAGGCAGTGGCGCGGCGGCGAGAGCAGGCCTGCGCGGGCGAGGGCGCGACCACACGCAGGTGGGCGCCCAAGGGCGAGCGGGTCATGATGCGGGCGGCGGCGCGACAGCAACAGCAACGCAGCGGCAACAGCAGGCAGAGGCGGACGGCGGGGCGCGCGTCCGACGCAGCGAGCGCGCGCAGGCGCGTGGTGACCGGGAGGGACGAGGATAGAGGGGGGTGCGTGCTCACGTGCGCTGTAGGGAATTGGCAGCGGGGCTCGAGGTAGCGCTCGAGGAGGCCGGCGGCGCCAAGGTCTCCGACGAGCAGAGGGCAGCGTGGGGCAGCCGAGATGCAGGGGAGGTCCGGGACGGCGAGGACGGGCGCCGAGAGGCGTGGAGGCGCGCGATCCGGCCATTTCCTGGGCAAGGACGGCGGCGCAAGGACGAAGGGGGCAGCTGCGGGGCGGA